CCAATAAATATGTCTAATTCTAGATCATTAGATATAATAGCCCTATATGTCAGCATTAACTTTCAAGTACAATCATAAAAGCCGCGATACTTACCGCATCCGTGTTTTAAGTGCTAACCCACTTAGTTTTCATGGTGGCGTTCTTTTTTCCTCTCTTCTCTCAGCGTCAGAACTTGTATAGATTTCATCAAATAAAGATCCTTTTTAAAACTAAGTCTGATTCTGGCTGAAAAAACATATCATATATATATATTTCAGAGGATTTCCTTATTTATATATTTCTCTTCTTTCTCCTCCCCTCCCCCACACTACGCTTACGTGGAAAACCGTGGTATTGGGGAGCCAATCGCATAACTTTTAATCAGCCGTTAAGGGATTAATTATAAACCGTACAAATTTCCAAGATAAATATTGATTTTTGAATATAATTTTTTATATAACAAGCTCATGGAATCACTGGTAACTATTAAACTTCTTCGTAACTTACTATTGTTAAACTAATTATGAAATACATTGTGTAGTACTGATACATTTATAAATGTAGTATATCGGTGTAAATGTGTATTTTATTTTTTAAAATGTCAGAATGTATTTTGTTTGTTTACTTTCCATAAATTAATAATTTTCATAAATTGTCTTTTATTTTTGAATTTTCAATAAGCTCGACCCCCCCCTCCTAGAGTTATCACGGCCCCTGGGGAGAGCCCCCACCGTTTGAGAAACAATGCCTTAACGCTAATAAAATAATCACAAAGCCCAAATTTTTCCAAGAAGACATTTTATTCCAATCAGCTTCTAAATTTATCTATGTATGTGAGGAGACTCAAAAGGAAAGAAATCTTCCCTAATTAGAGTGGCATTGAAACAATTCCTAACGATTTCTTTTTACTCTTTTCACCAGACTCCTTTAAAAGTTTAAAAGACAAGCATTTAAAAATTGGCTTTTAGCGAGTCAACGTAAAACTTTGGAACTTAAATTTTACGAAAGAGGAAAAATTGAATAGTTGCTCATGAGATTTTTCTGATGTCACCTCTTGTTGGTGTAATTCATATTGTTAAATCACTTGTCTTTTTTTAAAGGGGATCCATTACTTTATCATTAAAATATCACATTTAATAACAGTTTTTAAAGAGTCTTTTACGAGTTTCACTAAATAGTTATGAATAAATTTAATCAACTACCCGAAGAAATAAAGTAACTAAATGAAGAAACTTGGTTTCCTGATAAATATATGGTACTAATAAAAAAAATTAGTTCTCTTTTTCTTAAGACTAAAAGATCAAGACTCATTACACATATATCTCGGAACATGAAGAGTTTCGATTGTTTATATCAGGGATTCCTAAAGTGGTCTATAACGATCTACAACGGGTACATGTAAGTGAAAAAACAATTAAGGGGTTGTGAAGTCATTATGTAGTTGAATTAAAATATTACTTCCATTCCCGATTTATTGTTTATTACTATTTTTTTGAAACCACACAATTCTATTTACAATTATACATGATATTGAATCTTAGAAAAAACTACAGGCATCTTCTTCACCATTTGCATGCACGGACCACATTTTTTCTTCTCCACCGTCCTTCCTGCTCAATGGCAAAACTAGTTCCATGGCAGCGTCCTCTTTCTAATCTAAACTCTCAACTGCACTACGTGCCAAGCCTCCAGTCAAGCTTTTACAGACTTATTAATTCCTCCCATCCTGGAGAAAACTTTTCGCGATAGCAGAGGGAAAAGTTTTTCTGGTACCTGTAAAATACCTGACAAAGGTTCAGAGTTCATGCCAAATCAGAGAGTTGAGAATTATTCATTAAAATCTTTTTCTTTACTAAAATACTATGTTAAAAACGAAAAACACATTTTTTTTTAAATCCGTAATTTTAAACCATTTTTTTTTCAATTTTTGTGCAAAATTTGGATAATACTATTCTACAAACGAAAAAATATTTTCTTGTGATTATATTAAAAAATGGCGAAGTTTTTAAAAGTTTTATTAAAAATTTAAGTATTTTTTGAAAAAATCGTAAAAAAAAAGTTTTAAGCATTTTATTTTTTAAATGACTGATTTTAAAATAAAAAAAAGCTTGAGATTTTTTAGTGCATAATGTCAATTCAATAACACGAAAAAAAATTCACACGGAATGATTTAGAAATCATTTTCATGAAAACGCATCAATTTTTAATCATTTTAGAAAAAAATTGTAAAAATGAAAATATCATTATTTTGTAAAAAAAATAATAATACCGCATCGTCGCTAAATAAATGATCTTCCCGATTAGGTAATTATTTTTTGTCTCAGTTTGATAGAAAGAATAAGATGGTTTTTGAAAATAGGTCGAAAAAAATCGGAACTTCTTTAAGCTCAATCCCATAAGCTGCTCGGCAGAATAAAAAGTTAACAGGAGGTAAAAGATTTTCAATTAATATCTTTTTAACTAATTGCGATATCGGAATATACATCATCAAAACATGTATTGTCATCTAAACTAAACGTATAACAAAATTTCAGTTCAATCGGTTAAAGACATCAGCTTCCAAACTGAGTTGCAAGATTCCACCCGATAAAATTACTTTAATTAATATCTACACTATTAAAATTCGAAGGTAAACAAACGTATGCGACGCAGAAACTCGTCAAATGTGCCAAAAGATTGGGAATGATCCGAGGAATCCGTTTTGACCATTTATTCTGAAAATGCAATTAGTTAAAAAGATATTAATTAAAAACCTTACAACGCATAATTATTGCCATTTTTTCACGCCAGGTGGCCAAGTTACAATTTTCTGACCTTTTTTTTTTATCCCAGACGTTTTTAAAACACGATCTATTTTTTTTATGAGACTCAGATAAAAAAACAATTACAGAATCGGAAAGATCATTTACTTCGCCACGATACGGTATAATTTATTTTACAAAATGATGATATTTTCCATTTTTTACGATTTTTTCTAAAATGAGTCAAAATCGTTACGTTTTTGTAAAAATGATTTCTAAATCTTCCGATTGCATTTTCTTTCATGTTAATGAAAGGATATTGTACACTAATAAAATTCCTGTTTTTCACTTTTAGAATCAGTCATTTAAAAAATAAAATGTCAAACACTTTTTCTTTTTACGATTTTTCAAAAATATTCAAAATTTTATTTAAATACTTAATAATTTATTTCTTTATAAAAATAACCTAATGAAACTTTGTTCCCCGTGTGTAGAACGATATTATCAGTAATCTGTACAAAGATTCAAAAAATTGCTTTAAAGTTACAGTTTAAAAAACATTGTGTTTTGTGTTTTTTTCCCTTTTGTCGAGAATTATTTAAGTATTATTTTTGTTAAATTTTTTGTTTAAAAATTACCGCTGTTTGCAATCGATATATTAAGTTTGAAGGCATTAACTTAAAAATGAAGTCCAAAAAAAATTTAAACATTTAACAAATAACTCAATGCGAAATTGAATATCTCTTCCTTTTATTTCAGCGGTCTTTTGTTTCTTTTTTTCGAAGATTTCGTGGATCGGTCGCTTAGAGCGCTGGATTAATAACTTTTGTACCCGGGTTCGAAAAAACATCATCGCTTAATTTTTATGATTTTTTTTTAAAAAACACTCAAAATTTTATTCACGCATTTAATAACTTCACCAGAAATTTTGTAATTCGAAAGATAATTTATTTCGTCACGATACAGTTTTTTTTTTTTTTGCAAAACAATACTTTACATATTTTATGATTTTTCTAAGCTGAATCAATTTCTTTGCGTTTATATAAAAATGATTTTTAAAAAACTCATAATTTAATCTTTTACAGTTAGTGATTTAAAAAATAAAAAAGTAAAACTTTTTTGTAACGAATTTTTTTGTGCAATAATTTATTACTTTTTGTGTCATTAGAAGGCTGCACGTGTCAAGATACTTAAGAATCAGTGAATGTTCACTTTCTCGAGAGCTCTGACTGCGAGAAAGGGAATTGCCATGACAATATGTTATGCATTTAAAAATCCTCGTGCAACGCCGGTGTGTGTGGGGGGAACCAAACCTGCCTGACAAAGAAAAGAAGCAAAAAAATTTCGAAACAGGGAATTTTAAGTTATACACTCGGCAGAAGCCCGAGTAACAACGGTATAAGCGGAGGAGGGGGAGGGAGTGGAAGTCATTTTGAAAAAGATTATTAGAAGTGTGTTTATTTTGTGAAGGAAAGGGAAAATTTATAAAAGTAGAGAAAGCCCGTGCAACGCCAAGCCATGCAGCTAGTCTTTGTAACTACTTACGATATAGGAATATAATTGGTCAAAACATGCATAATCATTCAAACTAAACGTGTATACCAAACTTCAGCTCAATCGGTTGAATACATCAGCTTCAAAATTGAATTCAAAGATTCCACCCGAACAAATTACTTTAATTAATATCTTTTTAATTAAGTGCGATATTGGAATATAAATGGTCCAAACATGCATTGTCATCCAAACTAAACGTGTTTATTAAATTTCAGCTCAATCGGTTGAAGTCATCAGCTTCAAAATAGAGTTGCAAGATTCCACCCGAACAAATTACTTGATCTAATAACCTTTTAACTCAGTGCGATATCGAAGTAAAAATGGTCTAAACATGCATTGTCATCCAAACTAAACTTGTATATAAAATTTCAGCTCAATCGGTTGAAGTCATCAGCTGCAAAATGGAGTTGCAAGATTCCACCCGAACAAATTAACTTAATTAATATCTTTTTAACTAATTGCGATATCGGTATATAATTGGTGAAAACATGCATTGTCATCGAAACTAAACGAGTATACAGAATTTCAGCTCAATCGGATGAAGATATCAGCTTCAAAATTGAGTTGCAAGATTCCACCCGAACATTTTACATTGCAAATTAAATAAAAGCTTGTAAAATGTAATATACTTTTTTTTGTACGTATACAGAGTGCAAGTATTGTAAAATATCTCGTTGTACAAAACAAACGAATTTCAAACATATTTTACACGAAAAAATAGTAAATGGAGGTGCAGGGTATTGATCCCCGTACCTCTCAAATGCTAATCAAGCGCTCTACCATCTGAGCTACGCTTCCAGTAGACTTGTAAACATGCTCGCCTTAACACCTGAACAAGATCGTTTCCGTATATAGGTCAATTAAAAGTGTTACGGGAAAACTAGAATCGAGTAAATATATATAATAGGATATTTGAAAGTAAATAGAAATAGCTTGATAGATCTGCCTATCTTAGTGTTCCCTCTAGAACAGTAAAAATATAACATACTTTGTACGTATGCTGAGTGGAAGTATTGTAAAATATCACGTTGTACAAATCACAAACAAATTTCAAAAATATTTTACACGAAAAAAAAATAATTGAAGGCCCGGGGTATCGATGATTCCCGTAATTCTCTTATGCTATGTGAGTGCTTTATCATCTGAGCTACGCCCATCTTTGTTATTTTAAACATGATCATCTTAACACCTGAATTGGATCGTTACAGTAACTAGGTTGATATCGGAATATAAATCGTCAAAACATGCATTGTCATCGAAACTAAACGTGTATACCAAATTTCAGCGCAATCGGTTGAAGACATCAGCTTCAAAATTGAGTTGCCAGATTCCACCAGAACAAATATTACTTTAATTAATATCTTTTTAACTAATAGATATATTAGAATATAAATGGTCAAAAAACATGCATTGTCATCCAAACTAAACGTGTATACAAAATTTCAGCTCAACCGGTTGAAGACATCAGTTTCAAAATTGAGTTGCAAGATTCCACCAGAACAAATTACTTTAATTAATATCTTTTTAACTAATAGAGATATTGGAATATAAATGGTCAAAAACATGCATTGTCATCCAAACTAAACGTTTATACAAAATTTCAGCTCAATCGGTTGAAGACATCAGCTTCAAAATTGAGTTGCAAGATTCCACCAGAACATTTCACATTGCAAGTTAAATAAAAGCTTGTAAAAAGAAACATGCTATTATATTTTCATAATGGGGGTATATATTATATGTGTTAATATTTACGTGAGAAGTAATACGTGTTAAGGAACTTGGCACCTTAAAATGACCTAAATGTCCTTTTTGTATTTTTATTTAGATACATTCTTTGCATTATTATCTTTCGATTCATGTATACCTTTACTATGCCTGAAAAATAGAAGTTTGGAAAAGCTTCAATTAAAAAAATGTAAGCAAATAAATTATGTAATTCGACCACGCTCCTTTTTTAGAAAAAAATAAGCTTGTTGATAATTAAAAGCTCTTTTAAAAAGTGAAATTATAACTAAAATAAAAGAAGTGTTGCAAATATAACGAAGGATATCTTTAATTATTACTTTAATACAATTTTCTTTTCTTTTGAGATGTGTGCATGCAAAATTTTTTACTTATGGCATTTTGTGTTAATAATTTTATAATTTCATTTCATATTTATCATAAGTTTGTCATAAAAATATATTTCAATATTGTAAGAAACAAAAAACTTTAAAATTCCTGTTATGACAAAAAAAAAATTCTTACGCAATTAATACTGTCTAAAAAGGATAATATATAAATTATATGGGTTGAAATAATGCGAAAATGCTAATATTTTCAAGAAAAATATGTAGTTGATATTTTAAAGCAATTTTTTTTTAAATTTAGCTTATAATAATTATTTTTTTAGAATTATAAACTTTAAAATGGTTTTTCTCTGTTTGAGTTTTTCCGCATTTAAAATGCTTCTTCCACAATTATTTACCAATCACTTCCACTATTTGTATGTTATATATAATGCATGTAACAAAATTAGGGATGAATTTTGCTGTCAACTTGATACTTTTTTTAAAAAAATTAAAATGTAGGAGTTTTTTGCTTTTTTGTTGAATTTTAGCACACATATAAACATTTTAGTTGTTTTCTCTAAAACAAATTAGGTTATTGTAAAATCGATCCCTAAAGTTGTTTAAAATATCCTTAAGAATATTGCAAAAAAATTCCAGATAAAAAATATACAATTGCAAAAGAAGTAAAATTTTAAAATTTTCTAAATTTTCTTAAAAAAATTAAAATTTTTAAAATTTTGTAAATAATATTTGAAAAATTTCATCTGTTATCATTCTCTTGAACAGAAACATTATATGAAATGCTAAAATATAATTTTTAAATACAAAAATTGTTCAAAAGCTGCCAGGTCCCCGATTGGATTAAAAAATGTTTTCTTCACCGTATTAAAAAATAAACATAATTATTATTTTTATTATTTCTTAAAGGAACAAACAGCATCATAAACACCAAGTGAAAGTGTTTCAATCTGTACAAATGTTGCTTTGGGAACACGTGACCAAACGACATTATGAAAACTTTCATTCGGGTTTTGTGTTTTTCCATGCAAACATTTTTTCAACAGATCAGGATGGGAAAGATCTCTAAATATAGGACGCATTGCTTCAACAACAGCGACCGGAAGACTGTTTTTATGTTTGTAAGACTTACCTGATGCTTCAGCCTTTTTAAATCCACACCATGAATCTTCCCCGATGGGACAAAAACCATGTTGAGGATATTCATCAGTTGATAACTTATGCAGAAAAATGACCCAGATAGCTTGCCGCATATTCTGAACACTGCTGTGATTTCTCCGAATAGCTGATCCATAGTATGACTGCAAGTTATCAATTTCATGTTCAGTCAAACGATTTTTCCCACTTAAACACTTACCATCTGACAAGATTTGCCCTTTCAATTGAGCTTTTAATCGGCGTAATCTTGTTCCCATGCGCTTCATTACATGGCCAATACACTCCAATTTTTCAATTGGATATTCATTTCCATAAATGTCTTTCTTTTTTACCGCATCAAATGCTTTGCAATCCCCATCTCCTAAGTACGTAATATATCGGGCATTATGTAAAGATAATGACCGTTGAAAAATTTTAGACGCACCTTGGATTTCCATCGCTCCACTAGATCCAACGTAGTTCCTTTTACAATCCTTTTCATGAAAAGGCAAGTTTTTACAAGAGGAATATTTCGAAAGAATATCAACAACTATCACCTTACCTGTATCAATGCTGGTCACAGTAACTACACCATTCAAGGATGTGTAACCACGCTTCTGCCATGTCCCATCTACAGCTACTGCTATATTTTTGTTACCTTCATTTTCACAAATAGCTTCCTTCGCAGCATTTTGAATTGAATCCTCATAAACAAGTTTAGCAACATTTAAAATTCGCTTACCGTAAGGAGAAAACCTTGTAGGTGGTTGCGGAAGATTCATTACACTGCAGAACATTCTCCCTGCTTCTGCACCTTTTCCAATTGAACGCATAGCATACACAAACCTGGTATTTATTGTAGCAATTTGTGTTCCTTCATGAAAATTTGAAGAAGAGAATTCTACACGATATGGACAAGCAAAACATTTCAGGACAAACGTAATAGCCAGTCCAGATTTACCTTTTAAAAAACTTGCATGTCTAAACCACTGTTGCACATTTTACAGTGAACTTCATTCTTGAAAACAAAAGCAAGAATATTCAAATTCATGATTGCATTTAAAATACCTACGCTATCACCAAAAGAAGAAAAACTCTCATTTAAATAGGGAATTTTCTTTTCTTTTGCACATGACTGCTTTGAATCATGTGCATGTTCAGCTTGAGCATTTAATTTAGAATCAGTGGTACTTACTTTGCTATTAATAGTATTCTTACGTGGATAATACTTACCTTTGCGTTTCTTGAAAACTTTTTGCAATCTTGGCATTTCAAAATTTCAGAAATTTTAAGTATCGATAAACGACAAGTGCTTAAACACAACGTGTTCGAAAGCGCCAAAAATAGGTAAACAACCTTAACAGTTACACTTGCAGTTATTCTACAGTTAATTTCGTGGGAATAAATAAAACAGATAATGGCTTTGCAAGAGCATCCCAGTTTTAAAAGGCCAATGTTTACATTTCTATCTGTCAAAGTAGGCGTGGCAAATCAGTTGATTATTTTTTAAAAAACATTTTAAAATACTTCTAATTCAAAAATTGACTAGTATGTTATATCATTGGAAAGGGCTTAATTTGGAGATTTGAGAAATCTCAAAATCTCAAAATCGATTTCTGGAAGGTGTTTACCATACCGACTGTCCTTAAAGAAGGATTGAGTACTAACACGGAGATTTTTAATCGAAGGTACAAAATTAGAGTCACAATTAAAAGTTTCAGTGAGCTAAAGTAGAAATATTTCAGGAAAATTCTGCAGGAAAAATCTGATAGTCCGTATGCTTATGAATGAAAATTATCAAATGAGGTATCTTTCGCATTTAAAAGTTTTATCACGTGCTTTGAGGTATTCTACCGGGATTTTCTAAATTTTAAATTAGATAAAGTTCCCTTTTAATAATTTTTGGTTGTGGTTTTCGCCCGATTCTCCAATCGTGTTAGAGTGAATACGCGTTATATTCAGTCATGTTCTCAATTCTCGAAATGTCGTACTTAACGGAGACTATCTGCATAGGTTTATTAGTAAAAAGAAAGAAGCAACTTAAACTAGATAAGTGGTAACGCCCGTTTTAGGAAATTTATTTACTGAAATAATCGATTTGAAATACAGGGTGTTTGTCTACAAATAAGTTAGGCAAAAAGAATGATTTATTGCATGTAATTTACAGAAACAAAATTAAAGGACATATTGTTGTAAGTAGGGATTGCAATATCGGTCCAAAAGTTCAATATCGGTATTCCGTTTTTTTTAGATCTTAATACCGTGATACCGTTTTTAATACCGGTAGTAGAAATTTTAGAAAAAGAAAGAAAACTCAGGGGTTTCTTTGTTTTATTTGCCAGTTTTATTAGAGAGTGTGAATATAATTTGTAACTTTATATATATATATATATATATATATATATATATATATATATATATATATATATATATATATATATATATAAATTATAAGATTATATATAGAATCACAAAAAAGTAAAGGAACATCTTATTTAAATCACAAGAAAGTGTAAACATCCAAGTATTTATCTGTAAATCCCTCATCTTCAAATAAATCGATTTCTCGTCTTATGGTTTTGGATATATCTG